ATAAAACCTGACGGCCTGACGGCTATTTCCCCCATTCCTTGCATTTCACAATGCTAGTATATTTAAGCACCAAAATTGACCCCGTGCCACGGCACGTGCAATAGCACGTGGGCCACGTGACCACTAGTGCGACAAGCTGGACTCATCTGCTCACCGGCTGCACTGATTTGGTGTCGCTAGGTGGAGTGGTTTCCACGCCATAGGACCCCCAGTTGGCCAATGTCGCATTTACCACGAGGTTACCCCATCAAACACGTTTGCACGTGGCACGTGCTTTTCAATCGCCCCATATCTGACCCATACCACGTGGTAGCCGACACCCCGGGACACAACATATTCGAACATTTTCAAAATCTAACGTGGAAATTTTTGGCAAAATCGATTTGAAAATAATTTTTCGAAAATGCCATAGGCTCAACATGGGGTAACTGTCGGCGTCGATTACCCGAAATTTTGTCATTTATATTTTAAATAATTACCCCCAGAAGGTGAGGTGCCAGCCAAAGAACTGACCCTAAAAATGTGGACAAATATTACTGAACAGATTTTGCGCAAATCGCATTTTCAATTTTTCCCCATGTTAACCCTATGGGAAAATGCACGTGCCGATTACCCCAAAACGGGTTAATTATATTTCAAGCAACCGGTACCAGCCGGTAGCTCCCCCATAGGGGACCAAACGCTGAAAATGGCAAGAAAATCTAACGAGCCGTTTTCGAGGGTATCAAGATGTCCTAAATCGCGGCAGAAACGCTAAACACCCCCCTAGAGAGGTAGCTCAGGTTGGGATTTTCAATAGAAAATCACAATTCTAAAGAATAGTGATTGTCTAATTGAAAAGTCCCAACCTTCGGATAAGAACTGACCCTAAAAATGTGGACAAATATTACTGAACAGATTTTGCGCAAATCGCATTTTTAATTTTTCCCCATGTTAACCCTATGGGAAAATGCACGTGCCGATTACCCCAAAACGGGTTAATTATATTTCAAGCGACCGGTACCAGCCGGTAGCTCCCCCATACGGGACCAAACGGTGAAAATGGCAAGAAAATCTAACGAGCCGTTTTCGAGGGTATCAAGATGTCCTAAATCGCGGCAGAAACGCTAAACACCCCCCTAGAGAGGTAGCTCAGGTTGGGATTTTCAATAGAAAATCACAATTCTAAAGAATAGTGATTGTCTAATTGAAAAGTCCCAACCTTCGGATATGATAAAGAACATCAGTGTTAGAAAGTTAATTAACAATTTTATTTAGGATAGTTTAATTCAAGTGGGTATAATCCGACTTGACAATTTACTGGGAGGGTTTTGCAGCGCTATTAGTTCGGCATTTAATTATAAATCATTGCTAATATCGATCCGGCTATCGTTATTCAATGCTGGCCTTTGCGTCCTCAGAAAGTTGTTTATAGTCATGAAGGCTTGCATTGACCCATACTTTCCATTTTTCAGCACTATTATTCGCCGTAGTTGACCAGGTGTTTTCTTCAGCTCTCCCCTGAATCCTTTGGCTTAGACCTGGCGTATCACCCGTGCATCGCAATACGCACCTACCACACACAAGTTCATGATCCCAACGAACCCACATCAGCGTCCGTTCGCTTGGTGTGTGACCCCTTGACCTTTGGCCGCGACAACTGCCAGCTTGCTGGAGCACCCCTCCCTACACGCGCTGCCCCGCCCGCTCCCCTCCCTCCCCCCCCCCCCGGGGTCGTGTCACGAAGGTTCGGGCTTACGCTACTACCGGCCGCTGCGCAGCTGTCACCTAGCGCCTGGGAATGTGTGGTCTGGTGCGGATTCAGCCAACTACCGGCTCGCGACACCAGCGCCACGTAGTGGCGACGGTACATTCTTTTTAGACACACTGTACATGGCTACATACTCTTGTAGATATCCAATGTTGACATTCGTCACGGTGTTGATGCTTCAAATGAAATAATGGTGAATGCCGAGGGACTGAAGGTGCACCTGTGTTAGGTATATGTGACATTAGTAAAATATCTGAAGCATTTTCTGACATTTTCGTTATATGTGTAAATGTGACATTTTCTTTCCATTCGCGCGAACTTATCGTAATTTTCTTCGAAATGCCGGACTGCATAAAATAAGCTCAACCAACCCTTATTGGCTGGCACTTAAATCCCCCCCCCCCCCCACTGGGCTGTTCATTATTCAGCCATACGCGTCTGGTTGGATACTGCCCCCCCCCCCTCTCCCGTGTAACTTCCGAACAAACGGTCTTACATAGAAAGACGGGGAAAACGGCAATCGAAAGTATATCATTTTGCCTTAGTAGGTCACAGGTCAGGTCAAGGTCAGGTTAATGGTAAAAACTGCACGTTTCTACCTAACTGGTTTCAGGACGCAGTTGGCGAAGAATGGTCTGAGATTGACCACCTAAAACACGTTCTTAGCCTACCAAAACAAGACGCGTTGCATGCAATCTCACGCAAAGGTCAAAGTAAGGGCTTGGTCAGATCGCCAAAGACGAACTAACGAATAGAATATGTGAGACACGTGTTTTATGGGTCATTTCACGCATAGAATTCAATGGCATATACACCTAGTGATATGCACCATACTTGGATGAAGTTCGTTCAGGTCAAGCTCGGGCCAAGGTCAGGTCAAGTGAGTTCAAATTTTGAAGTTGGTTGCTAAGACCAAAAAAGGTGCATCTGATGCATTTTTTCACGACGAATCGAATGGTGCTATTTCAGATTTCTATTGCTCTCTGAGGTCTACTACTCTTTCGAGAAAAAAAAAACATGATTTTAAATTTTGTGTGCCGTGATGTTAATAAAATATCAAATAATTCCTACATTTTTTTTTTTTTGCTTTCATTCCTACATTCCTACATTTGCCAGGATATTGAAATGAAGATTCTTAGTACATAGTTCTCCGACATTTGTTCTGTTTTTTTTTCTGGCCTCAAAATTTTGGATTGCAAAAATATTTCCTCTAAAATAATTTTTTTTTAGAAGTTTTGGGTCAAAATCCAAAATTTTCGCGCGAAAATCAGAAAGCCATTTGAAAGACAGAGCCAAATCACACACATGCCTTTTGTTACGTCTTATGTGCTTAAAAACTGAAGATGTTAGACGCGCTTGCAGTTTTCGGGTCTTTGAAGCGAAATAGGCGTGGCATGATATGATGTCACTAAAATGCATTTTTCATAAAACCTTCCAACGAATTCCGTTCAAATTTTTCAGTGATCACGTCCATTTCATGAATATGTAAGGCAACGCAAGATTGACGTAGCTAGCTTAAAGCATGTACGTATAAAAGATATTGGCGAAACACGGGAGGTGGAAGAGTCTGCCCCCTCCCCCTTCCCCCCCCCCCCCAGCGGGGCGCGGGTCAACTCACTAATGAAAAGTAGACGGAATTTTGAGTGGCATTCCTACCGAGGAAGTTCCATGCGTAAGTGAAAAGGTGTTTCATCAGCCCGCAATTTTGCAGCTAACCTGCGCATGACTGGGGGGTGCTCTACAGAGCCCACTCCCGTTTTTTTTTCTCGGAAATATCTTCTAAACCATTTGACGGATCAATACGAAACTGGCGGTACCTTCAGCGGCATAAATTTGACACCTTGTGTTCAAATTTCAACTTCCTAACTACCATAGTTTGGCCAGAAATGACGTCAGAGTGACGTCATGTCGGCCGATTTTGATGCAAAATATTGAATTACGGCAAACACTCTCAAGAGCTTAGTGTTAAAGTTAGATCCAATTTCTTTGCATCGGTGGACTACAAATAAACGTAGTTATCAAACTGCTATTTCGAATTTTCGAACATTTGAAAATTTTGAGAAATATATTTTTATAATAACAAATAATATATTTTTTGACTTTTTCAAAAATCATTTGATTTTTCGAACAAAACAGGAATATATGTGATAGACCACACACTGATGAACTACTCTAGCCAGTTTTAGCCTAATAGGTATCTACAAAAATAGGCAAGTTATTAGCATTATTGTCAACATTTTACAATTATATATTTTTCAAAGCCATTTTTCAGTACGTTTTTTTTACATCGTACAGCAATATAAATGGCACTATCGTGTTCCTGAGCTCAAACCGTATCTGATAGGCACCTTATTTGTTGAAAAATTTCATTTTCAAAATTTGACCTTTTCTGACCTGAGTGACCTGACCTCCGGTAAATTCAGCTAAAAATGACCTCAAATGACACAGACGATATTATTTTTGAAATCTACGAGTAAAATGGACCATAAAACATGCGTCACGTAACCGATACCTGATATACAATTTTCGTGACCTAGGATGACCTGGCCTTGACCTGAAAAATTCGAAGTAAAAGTTCGATGCCTTCCGGGTATGTAAGGCATTTATCAAGGAGTGCGTAAACCAAAAATGAGCCTGATCGGGCTTGTCAGCCGGCGGCCAGAGCCTAAATTGTGAACCAGCAAAAATGCCGATAATTTTTTATTTGACCTGACCTGTGACGTCATCGGTGTCCTCGAGGTCAATGAAAATAGGTTTCGTTCGACAGTTTTCCAGGGCTATCAGAAACCATTTGAATTTTTACGATCGGCCCAGTAGTTTCGGAGATAGGGGGGGGGGGGCTCTGGAGAGTCACTCGCGTTATGGAAAATACCCCAGTCATGCGCGTGCTAACATAAAAGGAGGGCAAATTAACAGTACCTTTCCCAAATACTCATTGCTGGGATATTTGCTGCGTGATCACCGAGAACAAGTCTGATTTGTATATATTGGACTCGAAGTAACTGCAGGTGTGCGCCGATCATTGTTAAGCAGGGCTATAAGCATCAGACAATTATTCATTAGTTTTGCTTCCAAGCATTCGATTTATTTCTAGGTAGGTACACACCGATGAGGAAACATTAGATATTCTATTCACATTTGATTTGTGTCGTGAGGGATCATGCACGACCAATGAATGGACACAGAGTATTTTGAACTATGGGCATCCACATACTGAAAGGTGCTGCATGGGAGCCCCGAGCACTATTTTCTAGCCGTGGTATCCACCATATCCGCCGTATCCACCGTGTCCACCGCCGTATCCGCCGTGTCCACCGCTGTATCCACCGTATCCGCCGTGTCCGCCGCCGTATCCACCGCCGTATCCACCACCGTATCCGCCGTGTCCGTAGCCTCCGCGGTGACCTCCGTAGCCTCCGCGGTGACCTCCGTAGCCTCCGCGGTGACCTCCGTAGCCTCCACGGTGACCTCCGTAGCCTCCGCGGTGACCTCCGTAGCCATAGCCTCCACCGGGGGCAGCCAGGGCGGCGGCCACCAGGGCACAGAGCAGCACGATCAGAGAGAAGGTTCTCATGGTGTGTGTTCGCTGTTGGGCGAGCCGGGGTGTGAATGACTGGCCGCTCGCTGCCCGGCACTATATAGTCGGCAGGTGACCGTGATGACGTCACGGGTCGTGCGGTGACACGACACGACAGCCGGAGAGCACGGATTTTCCAGAAGTTCGGGGGTGGACCGCCACACCCTGCTCTGAAGGACACCTAACCTAAACGCACAAATCTAATTCAGTGATAAAATACTCGGTCAGTGTCCACTGTCCAACGTCCCGCTTCGAAAGCGGAACGCATGGAAGAGGAATGAAAGTTCCACATCCAAATTTTTATCCTGTGTTACTGTATAGTTTCCATAGCACCGTTTAAAAGCACGTCACATTCACGTCTGTGCCAGAATACCCAGATCATTCTCCCCTTACCATCCAGTGAAAGGATCTTTGTCGATCCTTATTTTGTCTAGAGATCCCGAAAACACCAGAAGCTACGCTTGTATTTCATCGATTGACACCATGTTTTTGCCTTTGGATCTTTCATTTATACTTTTTAATGCAAATTTGGCTCCGGGCGAAAGCCCTCAAACATTATTTTAAGAATATACTGGTGACTAGATAACCTAGCCCGATAATACGAACAGCAGAGAAAGCCACACCAGTTGCATACTTCTTAACACGCGAGTTCTTCGGGGGGGGGGGGGGGCGTTAAACGCTAGAGCACTTCACGGATAGGCTTTTTAGGATCCGGCCCGGCCCATATCCGGCAAGTCATATCCAGATCCGCCCATTATCCGCCTTTCTTTGAATATCAGAATCCGGCCCACCCATGGCCCGTATTGCAGCCAAACTTCCAAAAAATATCCGTAATAATCCGTTTCACCAATAACTGGTTTCACCCAAAACTGGACTAACAAATTCAATCTAAGGGACCAGACAGCCATACATCTCACAGACCATCATGGTTCCAAAAACCATGCTTATAAACCTAAAACCACATGAAAATCACCACATTGGTAAACTAGGTATCAATTTTTAACTTCAATGTTGAATGTTAAAATTTTGATCCGTTTTGATCCGGGTTCAACCTTCAATTCCCAAATCCGGCCCGCCCATATCCGTTCTTTTTTTAACAAATTTAGAATCCAATCCTATCCGGTCCGCGGATTTATCCGTGGATAACGGATTTATCCGGCCCATGAAGTGCTCTATTAAACGCCCCCTTTTTTCGCCGCGCTATAGCATTAAAACGGCGCGCACCTATAGGAAATTGATTAAAGTTTATTTTGACGAGGCACAGACTTCTCTATATAGAGAAGTCTGTGGACGAGGTTTCAAAAAAAAAATTGGTCGGAAAATTTTTTGAGATATCGAGGTTTTAGTGACGTCATGATTTCTGAGTTTTCGACCAAAAACGGTTTATGTTCAAAAAATCATATAATATCACAGAATAGACATACAGACATGCCGTAAACGCCATTGACTGCCAATCAGGGTTGTATACCAATCAAGTCGATTGAATTGATTGATTTGATTCAACGCGTATTTTGAGTTGATTGGATTGAGTCGATTGACTTTTCGAGATGACTGGTTGACTGACTCGTTTGACTTTAGCGACTGGTTGACTGATTTGATTCCCGAAAATTAGAGTGACTCGTATGATTGAGTCGAATGAATGGAAAGTTGAAATAAGTTCTAGTTGACAAAAAATAATGACACCAATTGATGACATCAAAGATCACAAAACTACACTGAAAACTGCTTGTCATCACAACTGCAATATGGGGTAGATGGCCAAATAAAGAACAGGGCCTAAACATGAACAGCCAACTTTGACTTTCAACTGCAATAACTGCTCCAATCCTGTGATAGAACCTGGCCATGGATGAGATAATACCTGGCGATGCACCTACCTACCTTTCTGCACTCAGCAGGAAACTTTTTTTTAATCCAGATGATAAAGTGCAAGGCCCTATATACTAATAAAGTGTGATTAATTAATAATTCACACCTCCACATCTCCTCAGAAACAACCCACTGAACTCTATAAATATCTGAAACCCCTACAAAAATAACTGAAACAAAAGCGTCGTTTTCGTCTCGTTAATTACGTTTACGTAAATTAATAGCTAATTTGCTGCATTGTTTAATTTGCAGCAGAACGTTTGTTGATCCTTTATTCCTGAGAGCCTAAGCATAACATATTTAATATATTTCATTTTCCTTAAAATATTTTACCGAATATTATTAAGTGGTTTTATTTCAAATGAAATAATAATTAAAACGAAATTGGTGTTGTACAACCGATTTATTTTATGATGACCTACCATACTACATGATAATCAATGACGTCATCTTACCAAAAAATCAAAAGACGTAGAATAAGGATTTATAAAAGCTTAGCATACTTATCGGCAAAACGTTTTGTCCAACGTTTTCTTTGTTTTTTCGCAGTCGCACCGTGCCGTTTTCGCGTTTTAATTTGTACCTACTTCCTTTGTCTTTAACTTATCCTGTGGTTCCAGAGTCCCTGTCCTTTCCATTTCCTTTTAAATATATTTTTAATGCTCATCCCTATCCCCCAGTCCTAACAGTTTCAAATTGTATTGCAATAAAATGTTTTGAATTCTTCACACATAACCTATCTACCTTCGTTGGTACTGTTGGTAGCCAGTGACACATCTAGGCAGGTAAGTAGGTACCTACCTGCTTTCCTGCTGTCTTCATAAAGCATACCTAATGAAGTTGTCAAATTTGTAGCACATTTTCAACACTTTCATATGGTGTCAGTGTGGCATGAAACCTAGCTAGGTTCATTATGTTCAGGCCCAGGGTTCAATTCAGAAGAGCTCCGCATAACTCACATAATGATAAGAGACAGACGGGGGCTTTACATGGGGTAGATGGCCTGATGACTTAGCTGGAATATGACCAAAATTAAATTGACAACTTTTAGGTGAAAGGTGGTGATTTGGGTTAAGGGGCGTTTGTTGAAGTCAACTACTGGGTTATTTTGCACCCATTAAATGAAACTTCTGCTCCAATTCTACCCATTGAACCTCAATATCATGATCCACCTGTCCATCACTATGTATCCTTCCTTATTACATAGAAACTTTGAATGGCATGGCAATTTATAATTTTAAATGACAATATTTTTATGTTTCTTCTGTAGGTAGGTAGGTAGGTAGGTAGGTAGGTACACCAGACTGCTATGGACACTTTTCCAAGTTGGTGGGGCAAAAAACCTAATGTATATCTTGGTTTGAGTCGTTTGTAGAGATTGCAATCCCGGAACGTTTTGCCAATCCCGGGATCCCGAAATTTTATATTTCGGGATCCCGGGATCCCGGTTTTGTCACTAAAGGTCGTAAGAATAATTTCCTACAGACATATTTTGCGTCTTTTAGCTTACCATAAACAAAGAGGCAACCAAAAGCCATCCTTACACCATGTCATTTGCAATAAACACGATTGAATTTGCGAAAGAAACGTTTCGATTTGATTAGCATTAGGCCAATTGGCCCGAATAAAACTGTGCGCCGACCTGTGCGTTTACTATCTCGTCATTAAGACGGATTCCAGCACATCCACGCCTCACTCACTCTTCGTCTACGCTACTCGTAGTTAGCGCGACAGTTTTAACCCGCGCCCTGCTGGGGGGGGGGGTGTTTGAACACCCCCCCCTTGTGGTTTTTCGCGAATATCTCAAAAACGGCGGCGCGGAGCGCCGCCGTTTTTGGTATACCTTATCATACATCAATTCTACACATGTTGTGAAAATTTTAGACCAAGGTCATTCAAGGTCAGGTCACCAGGTCACTTGAAGTGACCTCACCTCATAAAAAGTTTCAATGTCTGTCATAGCTACACCGAGTGACCGATCGCTTTGAAACTTTCAGCGATTGATAAGAGTAGCAGTATCTATAAAATGTATATCTCGGAATTTTGATATCAGTGACCTAAGGTCAGGTCAATTTTGCGACCTCCCCATTATAAGTCAATGGGAGAAAATTGAAATGCGCCTCTTTTGGACGAAAGACATTATAAACACTCCCAAACACTGAATTACAAGTGGTTTAGACACACTGAACATGAAAATGGTGTCTGTGACCCTTGTTTATGCCCTGAGGTCATCTTAGGTCACGAATTGTATCTAACAGTTTTTCGCAAATAACTTTTGATAGAGGCATGCTAGAGCGATGAAAACGCCTTAGATGTGTTCAGCTCGACGATACGGATCGACTGATATGCAACATGACCCTTTCAGGTCAGGTCATGACCTTGACCTGAGGTCAAATTTTCAAGTTGACCTTTCAAGGTCAAGTTATGGTTCATTCGATGCGTCTTGACGAGAGGAACACGATGCCGGTAAAAGTAAGCTCGTACAAGGCTTGGGTTAAAAGTTATTGCCGAAAAACTGTTTCCGAAAAAATCGGCTATTTTTGCAGTTTTTGCCCCCTGCAGGCAAAACCGTTGACGTTAGGTCAAATCTGAGAGAATTACTCAGAAAGGGCGTTAATAGGGCTATCGAATGCGCTTTTCCGCGGCGCTGTAGCTCTATTGGTTCCCGAGTTATGCGTTGGCTTCTTGGAAATTTTCGATATTCGACCTGGAAATCAGCGAAATTTTGCCTTCAATGACCTCTGGTGACCTGACCTTTGACCTGACCAAAAAATTGACCGAAGTGATTTCGTCATTATTTTTGACGCTCTTTCGAACGCCGCCTTCCGCGTATCGCTACGTGGCCCAGGAGCCGAGTTACAAGGGGGGTGTTCAAACACCCCCCCCCCCCAGCAGGGCGTGGAAATCCAGGACCCCCAGCCGGGCGCGGGTTAAGCCATTGCTGGTAGGTCTGTCTATTTTAAAACTCGCGACCAGCGTACGCCAAATTTTGCAGCTCCCCATTTCACAATGTTTTCAAGACGGCGATTGGTCACTTCACCTCCTTCCGGTTCCGCTTTCATCACTAATGTCTCTCGGACTTTGCTCCAAAGTCGCTTTGAGGGCAGAGTCACTGACTGGGACAGCTC